CTCCATAAGACATTATATGATCAGAACGATACCTTGTTCCTGATAGGTAGGTAGAGCCGAGGCACTTACCTTCAAGTGAAGTGATAGGGTATGTTCTGATAGATCAGGACCGCTTGCCAAGGCACCTGTGATTGATCGATTCAACAAGAGCTTCTTCGGTTGTGGATAGTCAATCTAAGATATCCACCAATGTGAACTATCAAGATTGTTTGGGGATAAAGGGAGTTGCTCTCATGGTAGCCGGGGGCCGGAAGGAATCAAACCAAAGTTCCTGATCACACTCGATGGTCTAGTTGTTTGCTAATGAACAGGTTGAGAACAGATGTGTCAGTTGTCACCATTGGATGTTACATCCCTCTAGCTTACCCAACAATATCCGGTATGCAGAAATGACTGATCAGAGGACTTGTGTTTCTTTGGGAGGTTCAGGGAGGTTATTGTTTGTCCAGAGAGATTCAGTATGTCTTCCTAGGTCTTGTCAATCTAACTGAGGAGCATCCAATCCAACCATGAAATAAGAGATGCTCAGACTAGAGCCATTACCTGACATGACTTTGAAGAAACAGTGTACATTACCGGAATGTGCTCTGAATGAGCCGATGTGATTAATGCCCAGTGAATCAGTATAGTATTGTTTGCACTGATCAATCTGGACAGTGTTCTCAACAGAAGCAATTGATTAGACAGTGTTAGGAAATATATATTGCCGATAAGAAATCAAACAGAAGAATAGACTGCAATTGATAGCGATATCAATGAGCCAATGGTCAGCACACTCTCTAGCCTTGCAATATCGTTGATGCAGACGGTCTCTCTAGCCACTTAAAAGATGAATGATCAATCAGATGTTGTTAGTGTATGAACAATGGGTGTGATGAAGAAAAGGGAATGAACCAGCCTACCTGACAGTATTCTGTTTGAGGGAAATGTAGATGCTATGCAGGAGTGATTCTTCCTACCACAAATGGGAAAAGTAGCGGTCGGCTTGGGTTTTGATTGAGGCTGCAGGATAGAAAAAAACAAATTGTTTCTGACCGGTCTGTGTCAGTTTTACCAGAGCCTAACCAAAAAACCACAAGCTTTTACATAATCTTCTCCATAAACATGTATGTACATATCAGAATAGGCATAAAGGTGCGACCAGCCCCCTCATCATCACCACCATCAACATCATCATCGATCACTCTTAATCTGAACAAACCCAACTCGAACGTTGAATACTGAATCGGCGAGGTGACCCCAATAGAGTGACAATGATCACACATAAGTTTTTTTGCCTTTTCTTGCTTTTTCTGTTTTAATTCCATTTCAATCAAGCTGATCTTTGGAATCTACCCAAACAAATATATTAGAAGACGTCGTCAGAAGCATCCAGAGTACCCCTGGACCCGGACTCGTTGGTTCAAGAAGAAGCGGGTGGCCTCGGCCGAAGGCCTCAGTGATCTCGAAGGCCCCGTCTCTCCGATGAGGAACTCCAAGCTGATGACAGTTGAGGCGGAGAAGGAGAAGAAGAAGAGCCTGGCTGCCGCCGCCGCCCAGCCTCGCGAGATCTTGAACACCCCCCCCAGGATCCCATCCTGCTCCTCCTCCTACCCAAATCCAGGCTCAACAACGTCAGCAACCACAGCCATCACATCCTTACAATCTTCGTCGCCCTGCAAGAGGCCGGGTTGTCTCCTCCACACACACCACACCCATGGTTGCGGCGGGGGTTATGCTTGGACCAACACATGAGCAGAATAACGGTAAGAAATCACAAGACTTCCAAGTGATTGTTAATGATGAATTACAGAAAGTGAATTCAATCAAGGAGAGTCAAGCCAAAGTGGAGTGTCGAGTAGTGGATGCCTATATGGGGTCCTACCGTTCAATCTCTCGATGAGTAATGTCTCAGGAGCGCCCTTTGGCTACATCAATCAATTTCAAGAGTGAATCGGATGATAACTTGGGGTCGTCTTCATTGCCAGGCTTGGTCGCGGATTCACCTCACTTATTATCACCTGTCATTGCCAGGCTCGGTCTCAGAGTCACCTCACTTGATATCACCTGTCAAGCTACGACAAGTAATGATAACAAGCAGGCCAAGCAATCCCCGGGCTTTTTCACTCGATTTATATTTAGGAAAAGGACTTATACCAATCAACATCTTGTTCTCACCGCCTTAATCTTTTTCTTACTCGGCTCAATCTTAAGATACTTGTTGATTCCCAGCAATTATTTGATCATCCCACCTTCTCCCCCACCGTCATCTATGTGTTGCATTTCACATCCTCCGCCATTGCCGGCCGCTACTCTCAGTACCGCCACAACCCTCAAGAACGAAGACATCAAAAACGTCCAAGATCATGATGGTCATCATCATCATCATCCTGTGATTGATTATTGTGCTCAACCTAACGATCCAAATCAAGGTTACTTCAGAATATCCAAATCAGATAATCAGTGGTTGAGATTATTAGAAACCCAAAAGCAAACAATTCCCATGATGGGATGGACCACCCTCAAATGTCTCATCAGTCTACTTGGCCATTGTGCCCTCTAGCACACTATCAATGACTCCTAAACAACAGATCGAGCCCAGGGAGCGACAGATTGCCTCGCTGCCTCCAAGCTTGCGGGCAATCCATTACCCAAACGCATATCCAACTCGGCTGAACACGTCGGGCAAGCGGAGCGTGACGAGCATCTTTTCCTCGCCGGATCAGTGGAGAGAACATGAGGAGTTCAATCATCAGAAGCCGA